CATTATTCCTTGAAGGGTAATCATGAATATCAATATTAAAAACAACAAACAGTTCAAAATAAGGTGGTGCTAACTTATTTACAATTTTGTATACAAATATCATGGTAAGTGCATATAATCTATATATCTAGCATAGAAGATATTGGCGTGAGATGCTGCGCTTCCAATATAACCCTCATGCCACGATTCTGGAGCTTCTGAAGTCTATAAGTTTGGTTTAAATTAAACATGTACAGCAATGAGGCACAAAAATCAAAATGAGGCTGAATGATAGTGTTTTAAATAATAGGCTTTGACTGATAGGACAAACTTGCTGATATTCTACTAAAAAAATACATTTTTTTGCTATTTTTTTTCTCAATGTAATTACAATGGGATTGAAAGCTAAAGTGTGTTTTTTTTTTAAAGATAAAAGTCAAAATGACATTATGTTGGCAATACAATGTAAAATTGTCAATGCTTTTAAATTTTTTAAATAGAAAAGGCTTGTGTTGCCAACATAGTTACTAAATTTTTGACTTGGGGAATTATCTTTAAAAAAAAAAAACAGACTTTAAGCAAATTGTCAAGTTGCATTCCCAAATATCTAATACATGTTACAAATTCAATACTCTCATTATCTATCATTAATTGAAGATTAATGTCTACACCAACAACAAACCTATTACTATCAACATCGGATTCGCACGAGTGCCCGCGGCGAAATTCAGACTCGTTAGTTATCAGGATTCCATTATTTGTAATATGTTCCAAAACTTGATCATACACTGCCATCTCCAAAACTTCTTCTATAGGTGCCAATCTGTTTATTGGACAAAATTCACTGGCATCCATAGTATTATTGACCTTATGTATTGGAATAATAGTACTACACTTTAATTTATCAGGTACTTTACCAGTCCTAAGAGATGTGTCCAGAAGATTCAGAATAATATGACTAATAGTTTCAAATATAGACCTAAGAATCTCAGCATTCAACAATTCATGAACAGAACATTTATTATCAAGCCTATTTATTATTTTTCGAGCATCAGACATATTCAAAAACTTAAACCTAGAAATCTCCAAATTCAAATTTGCATCAAAATTAGTCCATTTTTGTCCTTTTTGCATGCTTTCGCCAATTTTTTCTATAGTGCCAACAAAATAAAAGTTAAAATTTCCTGCAATCTCCGAACAATCTCTCAGAGTTTTCCGTTCATTATTAACGTCAAAGGAGATACAATTTGGGATCTTAGAACTACCCGTGCTAATCACACTCTTCAGTGTCTTCCACATTTCCTTGGGGTTACCCTTAAACATATTTGAGAATGCAATTGATACGGTTGAATTATTAGTGGACTGTATAGCGAATATTGCGTCCTTATTACACGAAAAAATTAGAAATAAAGTGAGGTCATGCAAAAAGGTTGTTTGTCGCTTACCCAATTTGGCTTATGTGGTCTTGTAACTTTGGGGCGCCCCTTGAAGGCTTAAACACAAAATCAATTATTGAACGGCGAAAAATGGAAGAAAAACTGAATGGTCGCGAAAAATTTTTGTGAAAGGAACCGCCGGTTGGAGTGGGTTCGCACCAGACCAAATCTATCGTATCAATGGTACTGACTGTTCTACCTTTTTCGCTAGGTATTCCTAGGAGGTGCGTGATGCGCTTCTATGCCTTTAGCGATATATGGAACGCAGAATGCATGCCTCTATTATACAGGGTCCAATTTGACCCACAAAAAAGTTAACGCGAAATCATTGCATCAATAATATCTGTATAAACAGGATAGTTTTTATTTTTCCTCTTCATCCATTATAGCCAATGGCAACAAAACCGTTGAATGACACACCTGAACAGTCAGGATTTATCTATAGGGCTAATTTCTTGTAAGGACAATTATTCGAAGGACCACTTGGCCTATAGCCAAGAAAGGAATAGAAAAAAAAACACTTACACTTATTCACTAATAATAATAACTTTAATATTAATACATTTTGTACAAACTTTGCAATTCACAAAAGGCACAAATGTCAACAAAATCCGTGATTGCAAAGAAAACCACTCTACTTGTCTTGTAGACCAGAACAAACTTGTCGCTAAAGCAGACACTTGATTGAAGACTTTGTAGAAAATATATATCTAATATAGAAGTCAGAGAGAATGTGAATAAAATAAAAGCCTGGAATAATTCTCCAGAGGCTTAACCGAGGAATTAACACTCAATTAACTAGCAATTTCGTACCACGATAAATTAATTTGCTGATTTTGTGCGAGAAACACGAGACTGTGCATTTAGAGTTCTGCAAACGGCAACAACCCTTCTCGATCACTGAAATGGTACTGCCCGCCCTTACTGGCGTCTGCCTTTCTCTGCTTATCTGAAGATAAAGGTTGCATCATCATGCCAATAGTGTGATTTTAATAGGTTTTAACTTGTACCCTTAGGATACTACGCAGTTTGGAGAATTTTATAAATTTCTTTATTTTGAGAGAATAATTTTAATTTTAATAGGAATTTGTAATACGGGATTTCCAAACAATATCTATCTTCCCATAATAATACCTTTCTTTCTTTAACCTAAGGAAGATCAACCACGTTGTTCTTGTGAGACTTGAACTCTTGCCACTTATGTTGCTTTTCGTTATCATTTGCATTTCTAGATTTTATAAGCCTTGTCACGATCTTTAATTTTATCAAAAACTTCATTATCATAATGTCTCCATTTGTTCTTACTAGAGTCTTTCCGACAAGAAATTTTTCTGGTTTATCTCCAATAAAATTATGTGTTAGTTCATCGCAGCACCCAGGGTTTGTTTCCAATTTTCCGCAAATGATCTTCTCAGTACTTCCAGGAATGCTCACTGGGTTGTGGCCAGGATCTTAACAGCTTGGGATTTTTCTTGTGTAGTTAGGACAAATTCTTCATTACCAAATATATGTTCATAGAAGGATCGAAAGAGAAACCATGTTGGCCGATCAAATCCATTCCCAAAATAAAATAATCTTCTATATCGGCGACTAATGTTCTGTGCCTGAAGGTGGTAGATCCAAAAGTAAGCTCAATCATAGCTTTTCCTTGAACTGGTGCTGATTCTCACGTGACTGTTCGTAGTGACAGGTTTCCAGTGAGTGGTTGGATTGCCCAAGACTTGACTAATGTTTTTCTAATTATAAAAACTTCAGCACCCGTATTAAAAGTGATGGTTTTAAATTCTCCATTAATTTGTTCTTCGAATTTAAATCCTCTATAATGACTGCCCAATGATTTTATGTAAACAACCCTGGGAGCTTCGTCATTACTAGCCAGCATCCGCCCCTCCGTACTAGTTGGTTCCTGTCTGTTATTAGAGCTGGCGTCTCTAGATCTTGAAAAGCGTTGGGAACGATCCCTAGATGAAGAGGACATCCTTACTCTACAATCCCATTGCATGTGTCCAAGCTTATGGCACCGACAACATTCGACTCGGTTTCTCGGTGTTGGTGTTTGTCTGAAGTACTGAAGTCGTTTCCCATTTGTCTACTTCCTAGTAATAGTTTCTCCATGAACTTACTCATAACAATCTTGAAGCTTCCATCTTCTTTTGATGATTGTTCATCCTTTGGGTCTTCAATGAACACTGCTCGTATTCTGGGTCATGAGGCACCAAAGATTGCTTCCAATTCCAATGCTTGGACAAGGGCTTCGCTACTTCGTCTGAACTCGACAGCCAATGACAATGACAGCCGACGAACGATTGACGCAAACCAAGGATTATAAACTATTATTGTCAAGCGCCGATACCCTTGTGACGTCACTACAGATACGCGTTTCCCTTCATCTTTACCCCGACTCATACGCTGAGTCTAGAAGTTCAATGAGGGGGGTATAGTTTTTAAGAAGTTTTACGTCCATGACGGCGCTGCACATGCTTTTTTTCTGTTTTAAAGTTTTGAATAAAGCCTATTTATGTTTGAAAAAGTAGTCTCACCTATGTGCGAACCCGCGTATGCAACAAGTGATGTAAGTAGAATAAGCGAGTGAAAAAAAAGTTTGCCTGGTGAATACAAGAAAACAGATCGCCGAAATGGAAGATCAAATTAACCAGGCTGCTTTAGTCATAATCTCGGAAAAAGAAAAACTGAAAGAAGCAGGCCCGGGCTCCAGACAGTTTTACAAAAATACGAGGAATGACGACTGGAAAGAAAACAGGAGGAAGAGCTGGGAGAAGGCAGGTCACAGGGTGAAAAGCCATATATTGCGTGAAAAAAAAAAAGATTAGCATAACAAAACTCTGCAGGAAAAAGAACATAAATATTCTTGCCAATTAGGGGACGATCGAGTTGATATTCATCGGAAATTTCTACAAGAGAATTATTGTCTAGAAAATTATAGAGGGATCGATGCGACATGAGAGGATTCTGCGACTTGCTGAACTTTTTTGCCCTGCCTCTAAATGAGCACTAAACATCATTCCACACCTGCGTTTTTGGAACAACTCGATAATTATAATACTGCCCGTTTCATATTCAAAAAAGCGCGCTTGGAGTCTTGAGTACCTCTTTGTCGTTGTTATGTTCAATGTTCCGTTCATGACATAGGTACTAAAGTAACCGCTTACGTAGCGCACATTTTCAAAAATTCTATAGACGTGATCGTTGCAAAATTATACTCGTTCATTAGAAGTCCTATAGACTGAAAACGTTTTTCAGAGCTGTAAACAAAGTTGGCGCACTTACGTACGGTAATAATTCGTAATATTTCGTCCAATCACATTTAATAGTAATCGTCATTAGGTACATGAGAACATCCTTAAAGAAACTCTATCACATGCAAATTCTATGTGGAATTGGACTTAGGCTTAAAAGATTATTTTTTTATTGGTAGGTATCTAACCGATAATCAGATCTATAAGTATGCTGTAATACGCTCACGCAATAAAAATATCTCTATCTTTCGCCAACATTATTTGGCAACTTATATCCGGTCCTAAATTAAATCAAAAGAGACGTTTTATTTTTATTATATTCACTTACTTGGACAGCTACCATAACAGCTAAACCAAAAGTCCAAGATATTTGCTCGTGCGGAATGAACTGTTTTTGTCCTAGTGCAGTGACGCACCCCATACATCCTAGAAATACTAAAATTGCTGTTCCGACTACTTCGCCAGCGCACAGGGTTAGTCTGTCGATTGTGGACATGTCATCAGTTATTTGGATTTTTTTCCCTAAAAAAGAAATTATAAGGATTAAGAAATATTTAAGCAATTACATACTAAACTAGACAATTCGTTAGAATTCAGACTGAGAAAAAAATTTGCTTGAAATATTGATTTACAATCGAGATAAAATTGTCAACTGTTTAATAAAAGTTCAAACAATCTCGGATTTTACTACTCACTGTTTAATTTATTTAACAATAAAATGTCTCTTAAAATTTAACTTGGCGTCTACCAGCGTATTTCGTTTTTCATGATTTTTAGATTTTTACCTTGTTTCAAATTGAGCTTATGTGATACAACAAACCAAAGCTCGAATAATGCTATTTCAATATATACAAATTCAATTATAATTAGGTTGAAAGCATCTCAAAATTTAATATTTCACGTTTTAAATTGGGATTCTTTCTCATTCAAATATTTACGATTCCATTAGTATAATCAAGGTTGGGGTCAATCCAGATACCAACACGTCATGCTATAAATTCTTAAATTTTTTAACCCATTGCATTATTTATACAGTTTATTCTGTAATAATAATTTATTCTCACAATATATCATTGTCAATTAGTATTTACATTGGTTATGTTTTTGATAATCCTGGGGTCATCACGATGTTATTCTAAATCATTCGTGTTTTCATAACAAATATCTAACGTTTTTTCGAATTATCTTACATGATTTATTAATTTGAATGTTCTGACAAAAATTAAACGATGCATTTTCCTGATCGAAAATTATCGTTCTCATGAAGAATTGCATAAGTCGGTACAGGCTGCAGGCAGAGCTGTCAGAAAAAAGTATCTTAGTTACTTTACAGTATCTTAGTTACTTTATAGTATCTAAGATACTGTATCTTAAATACTTTTCATTTTTGGCAAAAGTATCTGGTATCTTAGTTACTTTTCAGAAGGATCTGTAACTTGTATCTTAAAAAAGTATCTTGGATACCAGAAAGTATCTGAGATACTTTAAAGTATCTTAGATACTGAAAAGTATCTAAGATACTGAAAAGTATCTTAGATACTGAAAAGTATCTTAGATACTGAAAAGTATCTTAGATACTGGAAAGTATCTTAGATACTGAAATTGACCTATCTAAGTTAACGAAAAGTATTAAATTTACCGTGAAAAAAGTTCCTTCAGACGTTCACCAAACCCCACACAACAAGATGGAACTGGTTCAAACTACTTCAAACAGAATCAAGCTTACGTTTTATGTATTATTCATTTGTACTCACCCACCGCTCTGTGGAGACAGTTTTACCGTCTAGCTCTAGACAAAGCAACAAGACTATCTCTATACTAGCAAGGCAAAGCAAGCAAATAGTGTACTGCCTTTGGATAGGAATCAGATCAATTTTAATCATAAGGTAGCAGACAAGAAAACCAACACGATTATCGCCATAGTCATACCACTTATTTAGCTATGGTTTGCATAGAGTATAGACTTTCATAAGTGTCATAAAATATAAAACACAGATAACAAATACACACTAAGCTCTTAAAAATTTAGGTGTTTTGTTTTCTTTATTTATGCAATTATGCATTTTTGCTTGTGATGTCTTGATTGATACCATTTATTTAATAATTTCGTGTTACGTTAGTTGTGAAGCTGTGACCCTGATTTTCAAATAAATTTTTTTGGTTTTTGGAAAATTAGTTTTTTTAGAAAATACAATTATGGATTTATTTGCAGACTGTAGACAGTGGTAATGCGCGTATTACATCTGTGTATTTTTCCGTGTATTTATTCATGTAGTTCAGGGTGCCAACATTATTTTGTTTTTTCATAATGCGGATTTATGTTGCGTTTGAAGTTTTTCGGTTGTCACCTTGAACTACATGAATAAATACACAGAAAAATACACAAATGTAATACGGGCATAAGAGTTTAAATACAGATTATACTTTTTTTTTAATAAGTGCAGTTAGTATAAACTCATTTAAAAAAGGGTTGAATGATAGCTGTTAACTGCAAAAGCTCACGTCGCGATTTGTCCATTATACCTATTCTATAAAAATTTAACTATGATTTGTGATTGTAACTGTGATAACTTTCTAGTGTCTTGTGATTTTGACACTTTTCGAATTTGGGATTTTTGAACTATAACAATTTTTGTTTTAAAATTTTCAAATTGAACCCGAAACCTGTGGAACAAATAAACACCCATAGCTTAATCGGTTTTTCCGCTCACTATTTGGAAATAATAATAAAGTATCTTAATAAGTATCTTATTAAGTATTTTAAAAAGTAACTTAGATACGTATTTAAGATCCTTTTTTCAATGAGTAACCAAATACCCGAAGTAACTTCAGATACTTTTTCCAAAAGTAACTTATCTTGTAACTAGATACTTTTCAAAAGTATCTTTGACAGCTCTGTCTCGTAGACCTAAAAAGATCCTATGATTAGTTTCGGAGATCAAGTACCGATAAAAGAAAGTAGTACAAGAAAAATATCCAGGATCTGCTGGTGCATTAATTTAATTCATAACCAAAAATGACATATTTTTGGTAGGTATTTTTTGACAAGTTTTCAACCTTCAAAGCTTCAGATGACATTACTTTGGCATTTTTCCACCCATTTTTAACCTAGAATATGTCATTGCCTGAACTCAACATATTTTGAAATGTTTATTTTTTGTCAAAATTTTGTATGTTAACCCGGCCCTGTATCTCCGAAACTAATCATAGGATCTTTTTGGGCCTACAAGAACTTACGTTCAGGAGGTCGAGAAGCATAACATATTTCAATTTCATGACAAATGTGAAATTTATTTTTTCTCATAAGATCCGTGCGTGGTCCTTTGGGATTATAAAATGCTGGAATGAATGAATAGAGAATCGCCGAAAATGTATAATGTATTTATTCCAAAATTAATCAAAATCTGCCAAACAAGGAGGTAATTGCTGTCATTTTCAGCAGAGACTTAAACCAAACGTGTGTTAAGAGGTTCTCTTAGAGATGTCGCTGAGTTGGGGAAGCATAGTCACTTCTTTCAAACGCAACTAAAAACTGTTTTATCTGACTAATAATGTGAAATACTATTATTTCATTTGCATCTGAATAAAATTATTTAGCCCACTGGTGTAAACGAATTGATATTGAAGATGTCGCCATCTACTTGTAAATAAGTCAATCACTTATAGGAATTTTGCACACCTGTTATTGAAAAATATTTAATGTATGTCATAAAGCCCAAAAGATGGCACGCTGGCTCTTATCTGACGCCGCTCTTGAGCCGTCTTCAACATATTTGGTTCTAAAAATTTTAAAAATATACTATCAGGAAAACCAAGTACCTCAAATTTCACTTGCAGCTTCCACTTGTACAGTGTGAAATGGTTCAGTTAGGATAGCGAGTAGGATAATATTTTTTCCTACGAGCGTGCGCAAAGTAGTACTTTTCCGCACGCATTTCGGTTCTCAAAGTTGCACTTTTCCGCACTCAGTGCGGATACAGGCCTTATCCGCACTGAGTGCCGAAAAGTAAAAATAATTGTCAAGCAACAATAAGTGCACCTGTCGACGTTGACACATGATGACAAATTTTTCCTCTGTTTCTATATCAGCCAACATCTATACAAACACCAAATTTAATTAACTTTGACGCATTGTCAGATTTGTTCTCTATTGATATGCAAGAATTTACAAACTTTCTCATCAAATTTGAACGTTTTAAGATAAAGGGCTCTGACGATGATTTTCTGTTATTTTTTTTTTCTTCTTATGTAATTTTTTGATAACTGCATAGGTTCGCTTCAAGTTAATTAAAAATAATTGAACAAATTATTGTTTTTTTTTTCTAAATTTTGGTTGTTACCTACCTGATATGAAGCTCGTAGGAAAAATTTAGTTCCTAACACGTGCGCAAAGTGTCTTTTCCGCACGTAACACTTATCCGAACTCCGCTTCGCGTCGTTCGTATAACTGTGTTTGCGTGCGGAAAAGTAACACTTTGCGCACTTGTTAGGAAAATAACTATTACAATTTCTGGATCTGAATATATAAGATACTGCTCAACCTCAACCAGAGCTGTCAAAGATACTTTTGAAAAGTATCTAGTTACAAGATAAGTTACTTTTGGAAAAAGTAACCAAAATTACTTTGGGTATTTAGTTACTCATTAAAAAAAGGATCTTCAATACGTATCTTAAGTTACTTTTCAAGATACTTAATAATGGCCATTTCCACCAAACTATAACTAAGCTTTGCTTAACTATGAAGCACTTAAAAGTTAAGGGACACTCAAATATAATTTCGTTCCACCATAGTTTTTAAGTACAAGCTTAGCTAAGTGTCGTAAAGCTTTGGCAACATTGCATTTCAGGTGAAAGAATTGCGTACTTTTCGTTTTTACACTAGTCGTGTCAATGTTATCTGTCATTCGACGCTTCCCGCTAATTTTTATAAGATTCTAATTATTAATTGATAGTTATTGTTGTTGTCCGAGTTCGGTTTATTTCACAGAGAAGAGGTTTAGATATTGGTAGTTTATCCTGAATTGTGTGTGAACGAGCACGAAAGTACATAGAGCAACGTGGAGTCGGGGAATAAAAACAAACAGGGAGAGTTTATCCAACAAAAGCCGGACACTAAACTATACAATAAAGGCAGTGGCGTATTTTAAAATTTGGCGCCCTGGGCCTAAAAGGTTTGCCGCCCTATAATTTAACCAAATAAATCAAATAATGAAAAAACATTTTAACAAAAAAAAACACTGGAAGTCAAAGTTTACTGCAGTGCATAGAATCATACGTACCTAATACTATTTCTGAATGAGAAAATGCTTCCTTCAAATTCTTTTCCTTATTAAATAATAATATGTTGAGTTGCCTCAAACTCATTTTGTTGCTTTGTTGTTAAAATAGCATTCCTAAGTGTTGGGGACGCGGCTTGTGCCGCTCCTGGCAGCCCTACCGCCCCAGGCCATACCCTATGGCCTTATGGTAAATACGCCACTGAATAAAGGAAAAAGCTGATAATATCGTTAACATCAAAAAAT